CCCCAAAACCCCAAAACCCCAAAACCCCAAAACCCCAAAACCCCAAAACCCCGTCGAGAAATTAAGGAGTTGAAGAAATTTTATTGTTACTGTTAATGCTACTCTGTTGGGAGAAGGTCGAGTTTGCTGACCTCGATGCAGAATTTGTAGATGAGGTGAAGGGTTTGGAGGAAACTTAGCCTTGGATCTCATTGGGTGGAGTAGTTGGTGTAGAGGTCGTCGTCTCAGGTCTTGGTGATCCCTCCGAGACATTCTGTCACGTTGTCTCCACTAACTTCGAGGTGGATTCCTCCGAAAATTTGGTTGTTTTTGTGAAGGATTGTGTATACTGAGACTAGTTCTTCCAGGACAGTGTCGAAATGTCTTACTTTAAATTTTCAATCATTGACGTAGGTGTTTCCATGGACTGCGTCTGTTACCCATACTACATTTAGCTTATGGTTGGTGATTTCTTCTATTAATGGAGGAAGAGTTTCTTTTACATTTTTAGCACCAAGCCTCAATATAAGAGTAAGTCTTCCCATTTCGTTTTCAGGGTTGAGAGTCAATATCGATTTCACAATATCTTTGGGATCAGACTTTGGTCCAACCTTGATACCTATTGGATTCTGAATTCCTCTGAAATACTCCACGTGAGCTTGATCAAACTTATTTGTCCTCTCTCCTACCCATAAGAAGTGGGTAGAGGTGTTAAAATACTTCTCAGATTCATCCTCAGAATATCTACAGAGTTTGGTGAGCTTAGACTCGTAATCAAGAAGTAGTCCTTCATGGCTGACATAAAGATCTTCAATATCAGACAAGTCTTCTGCACATTCCTTTATGACGTTGATGAAATCTTCATATTCAGGCGTGTCCTTGTCGAGAGCAGTTTGTTCTCTAAGCTGATCCTCCAGAACATCTCTGCAGATCTCATAAGTTTTGTAGTTCATTAATTTCTCAATCGTGTGATAAGTAGTCACTGCCCAGTGGTACCCTTTTATCAATTTTTCAGGATTGGGTACTCTTCCTTCCTTCGTAGGACTAAAGCAATTTATATTGTCTCCAAAATAGGAAGACATTGCCACCCCATTGACGACTTCAACCGGGCTGCTTCTTGGCTTGGCGTATTGGCCTGCAATCCTTCCGATTTTAACTACATCTTTCTTTAAGATTTTATTTATGATCAAAGAGCAAAGGTTGAAAAGGACAAATCTGTTCTTGATAGACACCTCATTTCAATCTTTGAAGGTTTCTGCGCAGTCTCCTAGATGGATAAGCATCTTATCTCCTAATCCTCAGAGCCTAATATTGTCTTGGAGGTCACAAATGTCTTGGATTTCAACAATTTTAGGAGCATTTTCAATTTCTTTAAGAACAGATGAAAGTTCTTCAGTGTCAGAATACACAGGCTGGTGCTTAATAGGCTTGGACTTCCATGAGTACAGTCCCCACTCACTAGGAGTGGTATCTTTTAACAGAGTGACCGGCTCTATATCTACAATTGTCAGTACATTTCCATGTATCGGATAAAGCAGATTGGTTGGCTGAGAAAAATTTGATTGGTTAAGCTTTATAATAAATTTAGCTCTATAATATTCTCAAATTTATTATAAAATCCTTGACTCAGAAATTTCTCAAAATCTCAGGAAATTACTAATCAAAATCATTAGAAAGCGATTCATTGGCCAAAATAAGGATATTATTATGTTCTCTCCTGTAAATGCGTGTATAGTTATTTGATGGCATACATTGCTACAGAAAGAGAGAGCCAAGCCTTTCCTCGAACTGGAGATACCCCAAAAAATGTTACTAGAGAGGCCCTCTCTTTGGGGTTTACTAATGATCTCCCTTGTAAGTAAGATTTGGCCTACCATTAATAGTATTTTCAGTGTCCATATAAGTGGCTGTAAAATATTAATATTAGTTGATAGATTTATTCCAACCTTTAATCAGGATGAGGGGTTTTGGGGTTTTGGGGTTTTGGGGTTTTGGGG